AGTAGAATTTGTTTATGTCCACCTATCCTGGGGCAGAGCTGCGTATAAGAGGTAATCCAGGCCAGTGGAAGCTCTTGCCTGGTGGAAACTGTCTGAATGGACATGTTTTCCCAGGGATCCTCATTCTGTAATTTTAGAAGTCCCAGTCTCTGCCTGTGCTTTGTTGAGAGGAAGAAGGGTGGCTAAAGATCTTCCTCCTTCCCCTGCTCCCGGTGCTCAGCAAGCTGCATCTTGTCCAGCTTCTTCTCCACCACTCTTACCACCTTTGGTTGTTCCTCACCCCCACGGGGCTGTCTAGCCTGCAGTCCTCTGCAATCACAAATCTATAACCGCTCATGATTCTTTCAAAAGCCTAGAATGTCATTTTCCTGTGTCTTTCTCAATCACAGGAATGTGAAATGTGAAATTCACAATTGGTTTACATCAGTGTGCTTCCCACAGAGCCAGGTCCTAGTAGGGTGTGGGACAAGGCGTTGGGTGTATTCTACGAATGGGGAGCACTCGCCCCCATCTTCCTGTCTTCCTGTACACTCTGTTGCAGGCAAAACAACCTAGTAGTTGACATGTGCTCTCTAGAGCCACTGCTTGGTCTGAATCCAAAGGCACTAACTAGTTATGTGACTTTGGGAGGTCACTTAACCTTTGTGTTCCTCAATTTCCTGTAGGTAGAGTGAAGATAATAATGCCTTATGGGATTGTAGATAGGGTTGGAAAAATCCTTAGTGTGGAGCCCGGGCATAGCAGGAGCAATGTAAGCTTTTGCTAATATAAGTTTTGAGAGGATGGTTATGCAGGATGGGAAGGTTTGGTTTACAATTCTGGTTGTTCATCACAATGTGACCTTGCAGCCATATGTGGAGTGGCAAGAGGCACTCTCTTAACTACAGCACACCCTAGAGGGGTGGGAGGAACATAATGTGCGAGCACAAAGTCTGTTGCATTTTCTCAGCAGCTGAATCAGCCCATAAAAGTCAAGGGGGCTCAAGAGCAATGGTCATTCTCATAACCTGGGAATACTGATATCTACGTGCACAACATCCCCTGAATCCAACAACCCCAGGAGGTCAGTGTGGCACATGGCACATGCCCTTTCTTTTATAATAGAATGCCTGAGTTTTGCCAAGCACATGGTCACCCAGTCAGTGACTACATTTCTCAGTTTCCTGAAGAGCTAGGCATGGCCATGTGACTAAATTTGGGGTAATGGAATGAGAGTAGAAATGATGAGTGTCATTTCTAGTTGGACACTAAAAAGGAATGGGTATGTGCTCCACGTGCTCCTTTGTCCCCCTTCCCACTGGCTGGCATGCAGCTATAATTATATGAGCTGTAGGAGCTACACTGGACTCAGAAATGGAAGCCTGGTATTGGCAGAGATGCCCAACCAGCCCTGCACCATCTAGGTATGGGATGTTTTGAGTGAGAGAAGTAAACTTTGATCTTTAAACAAGATTTTATTTTAGCAGCTTAGGTTATAAGTAAGACAGAAGCTGTTACTATCTCCATTTTACAAAAGAGAAATGGAAGCTTAGAAAGATTGTGGCTTACCTGAGGTCACATAGTTTGTCAATAGTCACAGTAGAGCCAACCTCAAGGGCCCTGATGCTAGTGTTGGGACTTATTAACTATGTACCAGTCCTGTTGGGTTATGATCTGGGCTAATGAGGAAAAAAAGAGAGGAGAAAGACACCTGTACCACTCCACCTAGACTACCATCCCCAGCTGTTGCCAGTGGTTCCCCTCAAAATATGACATTTCATAACCACATTTCCCCATAGACACCTCAGGTTCAGTTGACATTGAATGTGTTGGTTTGCCTGTGAGTTTTGTTGTTGTGTTATTGTTGTTTTTTTGTCATTTTGGGGACTGTCAGGGTGCAAGAATTCAACCTCGTGCTGCACACAGTTAAGTCAAGGGAGAGCACACGTGTGATACCAGAAGACTGGTAATCAAACACTTCGGAGATAGCAGCACTGGAAAATAACTCCCAGCCGGGCATATCATCCCAGTAGCCAAACATGATTGGTTTACATAGGCTGTGCAGGATCCCCGGAAAGTGGGTAAACAACAGAAGTCAAAGCCAAAGTCAAATACAGAGGTCAGTGTACCTGGGTGAACTTGAAAAGGCCTTAACCCTAGTTGTAAATATTTTCTTGCTCTCCCAATCCTACTTGAGGCATCACAGTACCAGCATGGATAAAGTCAGGATTTCAAGGAAACATGCAGAAATTTCTTCAGATTTCTGGTAACAGGGTAGATCATAGCATGCTTATTTCTGGCCTGGTACCTAATATCTATTCATTCTTCAAGATTCACTTTGCTGTTATTTCCTCAAGGAAGTCTCCTATGGCCTCTCAAGTTCAGGCTAGGCGTCTTCTTAGGTACGCCCCCACAACCACTGAACTTCCCCCTTTTGGCACTCTGTACACTTTCTTGCTTCACTGGGATGCTCTGAAAGCCGCTCAGGCAGAGGGCCCAGGAACAGCAGGCATTCAGTGGGCCGAATGAATCGTGTGGGGTCGCCATGATGGCTGAGCATAACACGAGAGGGTTCTCCGCTCAAAAGAATCTAATGAAATATGCATCTTGTGAACATATAGAATCCAGCTACTCACCTATCTTTAAGATTTTATTGCCAATCCACACTCTTATAGCCAGTGAGAGTTTAAGCTGGTTCAAGTGTTGCAGAGAGCAACTGACAGTATGTCATAAGAGCCTTAATATGTTCAAATGATTTGAACTGAAAAGTACTTCTGAAAACGGACCTTAAAAGAAGCAAATACAAATGCAGAGGAGGGGTATCACTACTGTCACAGTACAAAAAAATTTAAGCATTCCTGGTAATGGAAAATGTATAGACACATAGTTTGATTGCAAATTATGCAGCCATGGGGTGGGGATTCACATTTTTTGAAGAATATTTAATGACTTGGGAAAAACTTCATTCTATGATGTTAAGTGAAAAGAAGAAGGACATAAGATTATATATTCTTTATAATCAATTATAAACCTCTTTCTTCACACAATACCTTTATGTATATGTATATGTGTATATATATATGATAGAAAATGTTGGTAAGAAAGATACCTATTTATTAGCATTAATATGTGATTATTTGATATATATGTCTGCATTTTCAGGTGTCTATTAGTAAGTATATATTACTCTTAATATCAGAAAACAGAGAAGTTAAGGTAAAGATAAATTCTAGCTTATTTTCTATTTTCACTCAGGGTGTAGCATGGCACATGAGGCTGGGATGAGAAAAGGCATATGAAATTTTTTCTTCTCATGATTGTTCCAACTGCAGCCATTTCAGACACCAAGGGACATCTGGGCCACTGTGGTAGGATCACAGAGCGGTGGCACTGCTCACTCTTGTGCCTCAAATGAGTGGCTCATTCTGAATCATAAACATCTCTTACTATGTTCTTTTTTTGTTTGTTTCTCTCCTCTGCTTACCCCTGCAATTCCCTCACAAGGACATAGTGAAGACAATTAAAATATGTAGAAGATTTACCCTCTCAGAGTGTGAGAAACAGAACATAAGTAAATAATTACCTTAGATGCCGTTACTGCTCCTGCTGCATGGTACACCTGTCATCTAACAAGTCATAGAGTTCATTCTCTCCATTCTTTTCTTTTACTACTGATTAAAGAAAATTTATAAAGCTTCCCAGTGGACTTCCCAACATTTTCTCTTGAATATTTAAACTTGGTTTTAGATTTGGTGACATCAGGATTAATAACATTATGTTTTATGCCAGTATATTTTTATTTCATCAGATTTGGAACAATTGGAAAGCAGCATTTGCTAAATGACAATACCAACCTAAAACTCATGTGTTCATATGAAGAAAATATTAAAACCTGGGTCCAAATCTGTTTATCACTTAGAATTACTTTTAGGAGTAAAAGAGATTGGATTTCCAGTATTTTCAAAGTAGGGCTGAGTTTTAGAGGTGTTTTCACTTAAACTAAAATTAAATTATAATAAAAAAGCCAATAAATAGAAATTCTACCTATGTACCCAGTATGATTTTTTTTGGGGGGGAAACTGGGTCCTTTTTTTGGTCTTTTTTGGAACTGGGTGTCAACCCAGGGCTTTGCAAATGCAAGGAAAACACTTTGCCAACTGAGCTACATCCCTGCCTAGCATACACCTTATTTAAAACAAGATATTACCAGATCAGAAATTGGTCTTGTTTCTCCATTTCTCTTTCTATGGAAATAATTTCTTAGGAATTCAAACCAACAATAATAGAAACAGAAAAGAGCATAATAATAACAAATAATAGAACTCCAACAGGGCAAAGTTCACATAAAGAACAAAGGTTAACATGTGACTGACTCGAGATCTATTTTTTTTTTTTTAAAACTTTGTTGATATTTATCCTGAGGAAGAAAATGACTTGACTGGTTCTTTTCAACATTCACTTTTGCAACAAGCCACGGGGTCTGGAGATGGGGCTAGAATCTTGACTCTATCGCTTAATAACTGTGTAACTTTGGGAAAGTTATTTTTTAATTTCTTTATGCCTCAGTTTCCTACTCTGTAAAGTGAGGATAATACTGGTAATCTAAACAATATTATTGGTAATAGTATAGATAATATTGGTTCATAGTATGATTAGTATTCTAGCCTGGTAAGTGATAATCCATGAATAAGAAAAAGAGTATGTAAGAAAAAAGGATCCACCCATCCTTCAGTAGCAAACAATACTTATATCAGGGCATGGCACAACTTTGTTTTGCATAAAGGAATTCAACCCAGGACTTCTGACTCTTAAGGGCTGAGCGAGCCACAGTTGCACTACTCCACCTGTCGCGCCCCCAGAGCTCTCTCCCTTTTCTCCCCAGCACTAGTCTCTCCGCAGGGTCCAGGCCCGCCTCGCTCCAGGAGCCCCCGCTGGGCGTCCAATCCCATCCCGCCTAGAGCTCTCACGGCCAATCAGGAAGCGGCAGGATGGGGGCGGCGCTGATTGGTGGAGCCTGAAGTTTCCGACCTCTGCAGCTGAGCAGCAGACGGGGATCGTCTGCTGAGGGTGGAGAGGCGCGAGCCAAGGCTGACTGGCACGTTCTGCAACGCCAACTCAACACCATGGCGGACAGCCGGGATCCAGCTAGCGACCAGATGAAGCAGTGGAAGGAGCAGCGGGCGGCGCAGGTACACCCTGTGCGCTCAGAGCCGGCCGGCGGGTCCCTGCCGAAAGCGGGGCGTTGGCGAGTAACGGCCCCTGCTTTTCCGCGGCTGCGTTGAGCCGGGCTGTACCATCGGCCACAGGCGGCGGGGGGCAGTCTTTGGGTGGAGGTGGACTGTTACATTCTTGGGGGACAGGAGAGCGGCTTTCTGGGGCGCGGGGCTGACTGCCTGCAGGATTTATCTTTGGCCACTGGACTCGGGTGGTTGGCTCAGAATTTTGCACTATTGCCAACCGGGACAGAGGTCACAGCTTGAGGGCGGAAGGAAAAAGCATGGAGAAAGAGGCAGAGAGCTGCAACCTCAAGAAAGGAAGTCAGAGTGGAGTGGGAGCAGGCATTAGCTTTAACCTTCCCAAAACAATATCTGCACAATTTTATGTTTGTGGGATATAAGAACTGTATTTTAGGTGGATGTCTTCAGCAGCAATCATGGTGACATGCATAGTATGTACAGCATTAAACCACTAAATAAAATATATCTTTTAAAATTATTTCATTTGCACTGTGCTGGGCCGAGGTGTACAAATTCCCGTGAGGCAAGAACCACATCCTTGAGAAGTTCAGAGTCTAGTCTGGGAGACAAGATAAATCACCAGTGTGGTGAAGGGTCTAATAAGTACCTGAAGACTGGTAAAGGGAATGAACAAGTTGACGGGTGAGACTCCCCAAAGCAGGTGACATCTGAACAGAATCTTTTAAAATGAGAGGGATCCAATCCAGTGGTGGTGGGGGAGGCATTGCAGGCTTGTGCCCAGAGGTGCAGAGTCTTAAAGGGCATCTTTGAGAAGATTGGATTAGATGAGACTGCATTTGGTTGAGTTTTCTGGCTGGTTGGACCAGAGTGTCATGCCAAGTTCCTAGGGCTTCTGGTTAACATGGCAGAGAGGGCTAATTCTACATTTTTCCCTATCCAGTTCACTGCTCTTTCTCAAAATTGTGCTAAAATGTTCATAAACTGGGGCATTGATGCCAAGTGCTCTCATGAATTGTGTTAATGGTTCCCTGTTTGTGAGAAGGCTGCCATTCTTCTCTAAGCTCCTAATCCCATTCTTTGTTATATACCACTAAAATAGCTCATTTTTTTTCATACCAGAGAGACTTAACTTATTATTTTTTTTTTCCCCCAGTACTGGGGATGGAATCCAGGGCCTCATGCATTCTAGGTAAACACTCTACCTCTGAGCCACATCCCCAGCCCAAGATGTAAGAATGTTAATCAAGGATATGCAGTTGGTGGCAGAGTCAAGATTAGAACTGAGCGTCTTGAGACCAGGACTTGTTGCATACCCAGTGACTGCTGATTCCTGGTTCACACTGAAGTTTTCATGAATGATTGGCTACTTGAGAAATATTGTGGGTGATATAGTGAGATTTTTATAAACCAAATATATTCATTTCTGAAGACTCTCTTTTATTCTGAGACTAGCTTGCTATTTCTTTGGGAGACTCATTAACTTAGAGTCCTTAAGTCCCTGCTGTTGATTTCCCAGGCATAGTTGCCCATATGAGAAACAGCTGGGCCACAAAGCACATCTGTAATTGGGTACCTCCATTGAAGTATTGCTGTCTCTTTTGCTCATGGCATCTCAGCATATTGTATACATCCTCCTGATTGATAGTTACATTGATATTTTTCATTTTTGCGACTGAGTGAAGATTGCTTATTTTTACCCTCCAGAAGGAATTTTGCCCAAGCCACCTAGCTTATGTAGTTTTCAAATGCTTTATTGTGAAAAAAACATTCAGAAAAGTTGAAGGAATTTTGCAGCATATCCTCATATATAGATCCTGCAATTAATGTTTTGCTACATGTCTTTTATAACAGGTTATTCCATCTGTCCATCCTTTTATACATCCGGTAGTCTATTAATTTATTTAGTGCACCTCAGAGTAAGAAGACATCAGTATGCTTTATTCCTAAACACGGATCATGTGAATTAACAGTTCAATGTGTGTATATGCTTTTAAGGTGTTATTTACATACAGTAATACTACTGTTCCACAAGTTTCAATAAATATATACACCAATGAGTCTAAAACCCTTATGAAGGTATAGGAGATTGTCATCACCCTGAAAAGTTCCTTCTTGTTACTTATTTCTAGTTTTTGGCTATTATGAATAAAGTTTCTATGAAAATTCTTATATTAGTCTTTATGTGCACCCATGCATTAATTTTTCTTAGAAAATACCTAGGAGTAGATTTACTGGGTCATAGGGTAAGTGAATGTTTTATGGGAAACTGCTCAGACTTTTCCCAAACTGGTTGTACTGTTTTACTCTTCCATCAGAGGTGTACGAGAGTTCCAGTCAATCCACATCCTACTGTCTCTTGGTTTTGTTGGTCTTTTAATTTTAGTCATTCTTGTGGTTCTGAGCTCTTATCTCTGTGATTTTAATTTGTATTTCTCAGGTGATTAATGATGCTGAACATCTTTTCAGGTGCTATGGATCATTTTTATGTTTCTTTGCAGTGTCTGTTAGCAAATTTTTTGTCCTGTGAAAAATAGGCTTATCTTTTTATTGATGATTCATAGCCCATGCTTTAAGTTTAATCTGGGGTGGGTTAAATGCTATAATAATAGATCCCAACATGTATAATGATGTAAATATATTAGAATTTTTTTTCTCACCTGTAAGATGATCTAAAGTGCTTTGAGGTTGAAGGGAGTGGGCAGGTGCTCTGTTCCTCACAATCATTGAGGGCTCCAGGCTGAAGGAGGCTAGCCACAGAAGGGTTAGCCACAGAGGAGGACGTTGGTAGGTTTAGGGACTAGAGTCACTTCCATTTACATTCCTTTGGCTAGAACTCTGTTATAGGACACACAATTGTAAGGGAGGCTGCAAAATGCAGTCTACCTCTGTGTCTTGGAAGCTATTATATTGTCTAAAATATACATTCCATATTTAGTGAAAAGCTATCTAGCTATTTTCTTGTGATATGGTAATAGACTAATAGACATGATCTCTTTTTAATTTTCTGACATTAAAATACTTCTTTTGTTAGAAAAATATGCTGATAACATATGATGTCAAACAAACAAACAAAACATGTCCCCATGCTTGCTAAATGCTTGATGTAAGTGGGAAGTTCTGTATCAGTATTCTGCCTTCAGTAAAAGTTTTAATCTTTTACTGAACTGTGGGAGCTTTAGATTTTGGACCTACTATGGGATGGCACTCTGCTGTCTCCTCCCTCAAGAACCAGCTAGAGGATGCCAAATTGGGTGGATCCTCCTTTGGAACCAGAGTCAGCCAATGTGAAAGCAATTTATTGGGCGTGTCTCCTTGTGGTCAGATGTTGTTGCTGACAAGTGAATTGGGAGCTTTGTAAACTTTAATAATGGAGCATTCAATCAAGTGTCTTCACAGGCGTGACTTGGATCCACTTAAAAGTCTTTGCCTCTTACTCCCAAAATACATTGGTCAGAGGAAGGCCATTCTATAGTTATCCTTAGCCTCTCTGAATGGAACTTAAGTGGGTATTTTTGTTCACTGCCTAGAATGCAAGGGCCCTTTCTTCACGATGCTTAGGTTTAATGAGTAAGTTTTAATCCCATCAGATCAGGCTGGAGAATCTGAACATTTTAAGCCTTACCTTTTTATATATAGTGCCTTGTTATCTGGGAGAAAGGATGGTTCTTAGCCCATCCGTTTCTGTCAGTGAGTTATGCATATAGCCCACGAGGGTCTATAATTTTTAGGGTAACCTGGATAGTAAGTGTTGATGTTACACTGCCAATGTATGGGTTGGAGAGGGAGTGACTGAGTGATTTAACCCTTTATGTACATGGGCTTTCATTTTCTTCTCTCTCTCCCTCTCTTTCTGGAACTGGAGACTGAATCCAGGGCCTTGCACATGCTAGGCAAGTGCTCCACATTGACACACATCCTTGATCCATGTGTTACTTCTTTTGGGAAATGTTTAGAAGTGGAATTGCTGAGTCACAGTATGTCAGCAGGTTAAACAGGAGACATGGAATCAAAATTTCTAAGTTTTCACTTCTACTTCCTCACCAATATCTAGACCATTCCACAGTTTTTCTTCAAGTAAGAAAGGAGAGGATGATTGCAAAATGTAAGATAAATATTAATTTGTGTTTATTTTCCCATTTTTATTTTTAATTTCCTAAATTCAGTGACTACTGCTGCTTCTAATACAAAGAATAAAGGAATCTTTCATTTGTTGAGCTTTATTTTTTGAGCTGATCTCTCCAAACTCTCCCTTTCCCTATCCAAAACTCTACCTTTTCTGGAAAGTTTGAGGATTAGCCCTGATCTCAGTGTTACCAGATTTACTTAAGACAGTTCCAAGAAAGAAAAGATTTCTTTTGCAATAGTAATTTTCTGTGTATCTTAAAAGTTTTATTTTTCTACAAAATTATTCTGTTTCTAATTCTCGAAAACCAGTAGCAATGTTTTGACCATTTCTGGCTGAAAACAATGTAGTAGTCAAGTAAGTGACTTGGCAATTTGCCGAGAGGAAAGAAGGGAAAATCAGAAACTATTGTAATGGGTTTAGTCTTATACAAAATAGTATGACAGAGCCTTGTTTGAAAAACGAAACATTTCTCACTCGCATAAAGGAGAAGCTGTATTCAGTTACTCTGTTCTTGGAGGCCAGCACTATCAGTATGAAGTCTGATATTTGTTCTTGTAAAAGGTGTTATAGAATAATAATAATAATAATAATAATAATAATAATAATAATAATAATAATACTGTCATTCTTTTTTTTCTGGAATTAAAACTACCTTTTGGTTCTCTTCCCAGGGGTCCTTGGAGCTATTGTAAATTTTCTTTTTTGCTCCCCCTGTCCCCATGAGGTTTCACACCAAGGATATGCAATTCTTTGCTTTGCGTTATAGACACCTTAATGTTCTGCCTTGCCCTGAGTGTTAGCCTAAGGCTTGTGAAAATTGTCAGAATCAAAATGGAGTTGCTTGTGTTAAGCCTGACCACCACCACCAGTGCTAAAGCTCCTAGTCCTGGTAACAAGAATTAGTCACCAAAGGCTGCCAGAGCCATGACTGTGCACAAAGGCCACTTCATCCTTACACAGAACATGCTTGTGCAAGGGCATCTGTGTAGCAACTGTCTATTCAACTTTGGGCTGGTGCCACCAGGTTATTGATCTTTGAACACCCTTCTTATTAATCTTGGACCAAGGATTATTGTTTCAAAACAATTTATGAATTCTTCTTCTTTTATCTTTAAAAGCTTCCCTTTCCTCTTAGAATATGCCTGGGGTTTCCATGAGATGCATGTTCCACACTGCAGTGCTCCTCACTTGTTCCCCAAGAAACATATCAGTATTCTTCAGAGAGTCGTCTGTATTTAGGTTGACAGGCTATAAAGGTCACACATTTGATAGCAGTTAGTGTGTTGTGAAGACAGTTTCAGGTACACTTTCAGATCTAGCAGTTTATGTTCTTTATCAAGACCATAGTTTGTTTTTTTTTCTTAATCTTACTAGAGCTCACTTGTTCTGTGATACATTATTATAATTTTTTGAGGTACTGAGAATTGAACCCAGGACCTTGCATATGCTGGACAAGTGCTCTACCACTGATCGACATCCCTAGCATGATGATATATTATTTAATATTTTATTGGATACATATTTATTGAGTATCTTATTATTGAATCCCTTAAGTACAGTGTATAGGATAATTTAGGCAACAAATAGAAAAGAATAAAAACTCTTCTTTGCCTTTTGAGTATAGACTAATTCATATTAACTGATAACCACCTGTTGGCTTAACCAGGATGAGTTTACTAGATATTTGGGTGCATCTGGTGTTGTGAATTCATTGATTTATTTTGTGCTTGAGAACTACCCCCTAGAGTGTTTAAGATTAAAAAAAAAGAAGGCACACATGAGACTGAATGCACAACTTAGCACTGAGTGGCCTACCTGGAAATTAAACTTTCACATTCCCTAGTGATGCTAAGCCCTCTGGGCAGGAGGAGTGTTAATCAGCAGGTCCACTGCCCAATGTGTATTTTATGTGTGGTGTGGAACTCTCCTGCTCTTGTCTTGATTAAGCATGTAAATATAGGAAAGCAGAGCAGAGTCTGGTGGAGTCCACACTCATGTGTTAGCAGCACTGAAGCAGCCTTCCATTTTTCCTTCCTTTGCTTCAGCTTCTGCCATATATCTTTTTTTTTTTAAGAGAGAGAGAGAGAGAGAGAGAGAGAGAGAGAATTTTAATATTTATTTATTTTTTTTAGTTTTCGGCAGACACAACATCTTTGTTTGTATGTGGTGCTGAGGATCGAACCTGGGCTGCACGCATGCCAGGCGAGCGCGCTACCTCTTGAGCCACATCCCCAGCCCTCTGCCATATATCTTGCATTAAACATTTTTCTTTGATTCTTCATTAAAAAATCAAAATTCTATATCATGATAAATTTCAGACCAGTCCTAGTGTAGTCCATGCCCCTCAGCCCCCATAGTGATCTTGTTTCATTATTATTCCACCTGCATCACCTTCATTTTCTGAAGCAAATTGCAGACATGGTATCACTTCATCTATAAATATTTTAGTGTTTATCTCCAAAAGATAGGGCTTCTTGGAAATTTCATGGTCACATCTAGAAAAATGAACAGTTTTCCAGTCGTGTGTTTGGTTTCCCTGATGGTGAAGAAAGGCAGTGATTACAGCAGGTGGGAGACTGCTGTCCCCAGAGAGACCTGCTTGCAAGGTTGGCCCTTGCTGCTGTCTGCAAGCTGGGCTTTGGGGGTGTTCCCACTACCCTGATAGCTATATTTAAACCGTGCAAATGACAGGGTTTACACTGTGCAACTGCTGCCCCTCTGGGAGGCTGAGAGGGGCCACGTGACTGGCCCTTGATTTAAAACTTGGCTATTGAGTCTAAAGAGCTTCCCTGCTGAACACGGTTTCACAGGTGTGGCCCTAACCTTTGCTGAAGAAACTGGATGTGCCCTGTAGAACTTCACTGGAGGGCTCTTGCAAGCTGGCTCCTGGTTTGCTTCACACTTTGCTTTGTGTCCTTTTGCTGTAGTAAATTGTAGCCATGATAATGACTGGATGCTGAGTCCTGGGAGTCCTAGAGAATCAGTGAACCTGGGGTGCTCTTGGGGGCCCTTGACATAGTCTGTCTCCTCCTTAAACTGTTCAAATCCAGATCCCAATGAAGTTCACTCCTTGCAGTGGTTGATTTGTGTCTTGAGTTTCTATCTTCTTTGCGGTGATTATAAATAGCGCACATGTGGCTTAGTGTAACCTAGTCAATCAATGAAGAGTCGTCATTAAATCAGACAGGATTCAAGTTGTGGCTTTGCCCCTTGGGCAGGTTACTTTCTTATCCTTTGTTTTCCCATATTGAGAATGGGGTAATAGTTCTCCTTACCTTGAAGGACTGTTGTGAATTTTCGTATATGAAGTAGGATGTTTAGCTTTTATTTTACTATGCTGCTTGGGATCCTCTTGGCATCATTCTTTTGGGAAGTTCCCTTTATGTTTTTTAGGCTTTCTTTAGTGCCTTTTTTATATGGTTAAAAAAAAAAAGTATTTAAAGAGCAGACAGGTTTATTTTGCCCCAGTTCATTTATTATGTTTGTGTCATCCCAAGGCTCTTGTCAGTGGTTCTCAATCTGTTTTCACTTTGAAATCACGTGGGGTTTTAAAAATATCCTGGGCCTCACCCAGACTGCTATGTTATCAGTCTCTGGGGGATTATTCAGGCATTGGGATGCCTTAAAAAGCCCCCTGGCTGGTTCCTGTGTGCAAGTCACTGGAGAGGCCGCTATCAAAAGCCTGAAGACCAAGGCTTTAGGGGTTTTGTTTGTTTTTGTTTTTTGGTACCAGAGATTGAACCCAGAGGTTTAACCACTTTCCAGTGGATTTCCCAGTGGGCTTAACCACTGAGCCACATCCCCAGCCCCCCCTTTTTTTAAATTTTGAGATAGAGTCACACTAAGTTGTTTAGGGCCTCATTAAGTTGCTGAGGCTGGCTTTGAATTCATGATCCTCTTACCTCAGCTTCCCGAGCTGCTGGGATTAGAGGCACTTGCCACTGTACCCAACTAGGGCTTTAGGATTAAACTAAAGGGAAAGTTGTACACTTTTGCTCTTTTTTTTTTTTGCCATTTTCTACTTTAAATGAAAAATAAAATTATACAAGTTCACACCTACTAGCTAAATGTGTATTTTCAAAAAGAGAGTGGTATACATCTGTCATGGTTACTAGAAAAATCTCAAATGCTCTGCTGCTTCTGCTATCAGGTCACTTTCTCATAGCTGGATAAAGTGGTGTATGTGTGCCTAGAGTGTGGTCTGTGTTTTTATATATTTAGCTCTTTTAACTCTTGTATGAACTCAAGGGTGCAGTTATTCTGTGCCAATGAAAAATTGAGACTCAAAAGTAAGTAACTTAACCAGGAGCTACATAATTAATGATTGATTGGCAGAGCTGGAAGTTGGGCCCCAGCTCTAATCCAGCATTCATGCTTTCTTAAGACGTGCCCCCTTGGTTTTTGCCCATTTTGATGTGAAAACAATTCTAGCAGGCTAGGGGAATTTATGAGTGTGTGTGAGTCTTGTTCATTAATTTCGCATATTTCATGATCTCTTATTCACTGTCTTTTCTCAAATAGCTCACAGGACTTTTAGAGTTTAAGTTCCTCACCAGATCACCTTCTAGAGAAGATTCTGGATTAACTTTATTTTAATATGTAGGACAGCTGTGCATAGGGAATGAGTGTTATAGATCCACTCCAGATGTGGAAGTATTCAGAATGCTTTTCTGGTATGTGGGATCGGTCTGTTGACTTTTGTCCATAGAGCCTGTTCAGTTGTTCTTTCAGGAGAATGAAACCAAAGCTTGGCTGCTTCTACATCTCCCTTGATTTCCCAGTGGGCAGGAAAGACACTGGAGAGGCAGTTATCTATGGTCAAAAAAACCATGTGACTATGGATCGGGATGAAGCTAAGAGCTGTGAAGTATTATGTGAGGCTTAAAGAATGCCTCGGGAGAGACATGTCCTGAGAAGAGGGACAGCTTGGAGGCCTCTGATGTCACTGAAATTGAAGAAATGGGTGGATCAAAACTAGTTGTTTATTAGAGTAAAATATCCTGTCTCATTTCAGAGACATTTGACATTTTTCAGACATTAATATTATAATCTATCTTATGAGAAGTAAGATATTTTCAGTGACAGTAAAAGTCACTTTTTTTTTTTTAAATCAAAAGAGATGTCACAAGTAGCTGGCATATCGTCTTTAGAGAAATGAGTGCCCTGCACAGGATGGCACCCTTGAACATCCACCCTGTAGCAGAGTGTTGGTTATCCCTGGGTGAAGAGCTAGCCATTTTCTCATAATCAGTTTGGACCTTCAGTATTACGCACAGTGATCCTTTTTAGGGGCTCCTAGTCTGATTACTTTCCTTGTGGAACCCTGTGGCTCACTGTAGAGCAGGTACTGAGTCAGCTGGCAGGCTGTTTAGCTGTCTTTCTGCTCTTCAGAGCAAGCATCTCAGCAGACTGGGATTGAGACTTGTTGGGATTTCTGAGACTTGACTCTAAATTTCAGGCATTTTTTGAAGTATTTCAGTACTTTGGACAAAGGGAATTTAAAAAAAGGGCAGCAAGTAATAAAAATTGCATGGTGATGTATCCTGTGACAGTGTGTTCCGAGTTGGATTGTGCTCTCTTACACTTTTTTTTCTTTCGTGTTCACGTAGAAACCCGATGTCCTGACCACCGGAGCTGGGAATCCAGTAGGAGACAAACTTAACGTTATGACCGCGGGTCCCCGTGGGCCCCTTCTTGTTCAGGATGTGGTTTTTACTGATGAAATGGCTCACTTTGACCGAGAGAGAATTCCCGAGAGAGTTGTGCATGCTAAAGGAGCAGGTGAGATCTCTGGTTGTTTGGTTAAAAAAAAAAAAAGGATTAGTTCAGAATACCTAGGTCAAAATTCCTTCCCAAAGTGTTGGAGGACCTTGGATAGAAGTGCCAAATGTCTTTTCATCAGAGAAAGAAAAAATGTCTACTAAAGGGGGAATTAGTAATTACGTAGTGGTTGATTCCTTGGATTGAACAAGTATATATAAAATGTTTTATTTTAAAAACAGTGGTCTTCCATTTTTTCTATCATACTATCAATGAAGGAATAAAAATATAGAAATACAGATATAGACACATGTGCTATAATTACAGCCTGGTTTAAATGGTGCTCTTACTACAACTGAAATGAACTGCAATATTGAGCATAGTTGTGTTAGACTGGTAGGTTTGGGTGATTTTTCCTTCTTTTTTGTTTAAAACTTATGTAAAAGTTTGATTTTGCTTTTATGATGAAAACAAAAGATGGGAATGGGGTTTAAAAGAAAGCTAAAAACTCAATAGGAAAAAGATCCCCAGAGAAAGAAATGAAACATCATTTTGGCCTGCACCCTTGGACTTCCAGTTAAGATTCCCTAATTTCTTCAGTTCTTTCTCCTAGATAGATTTCTTCTGTCTTTTCTGCATGTGTCTTTTCTATCGTGATTTAATATGCTAATCAATTTATTGTTTGGTTCTGAGGCATCCTTGATAACTGTTAGAACTATTCTTTCCCCTGTATTTTCTTCTCTTCAATTTTATTTTGGTTGTAGTGGGACACAATACCTTTATTTTATTCACTTTTATGTGGTGCTGGAGATCGAATCCAATACCTCATGCATGCTAGGCAAGCGCTCTACCGCCGAGCCATAACCCCGACCCCTTTTCTTCTCTTGTTTTCTTTCTCTCATAGGCCCTGCCTGTATCAAGGCCCTCTGAGATCCTGTGTCCTTGGGTTGACTTTGATCAACTACTTCTAGCTCCACTCATTTCTTCCTCTTGGCTCAGCTGTGTGGCACTTACTTGAACATGAATGATAATTGAGCTTTGCATTTAATCTCACTATTTTGTGTTTGGACAGCTCCTCTTCCTCCCATCACATTGGAAGCTCATAGAAGGCTGGTGCTACACCACTAGTTTCTCTCAACACCAGGTGCCTATTTGAGAGGCTGATAGTCTGAGTGAAGGTCTCATGGTGAATCATTTTTGTATCTTTCTCTTTAGGTGCTTTTGGCTACTTTGAGGTCACACATGACATCACCAGATACTCGAAGGCAAAGGTGTTTGAGCATATTGGAAAGAGAACTCCAATTGCAGTTCGATTCTCTACTGTTGGTAAGTCAGTCTGTTTGCATGACGGTATTGTGCAATTCAGCCTGTACTTTATTTGGGATATTTATAACTTAAAAATTTCAAGAAATCTTATTAGGAAATATGAAACAAGCACTTCTCCAAAATTTAGCAAGTTTTACAGTAGAAAATATATTTGGAGACATGTAAGAAATTACTTATATTTCTGTTTGTTAAAGTCTTAGGAAATCACCCTTATAAGAGAGGTTACCTCTGCAGTTTTGTGACATTTGGGAAGAGCTTTCCATAAGTGGTTGCCTCAAAGGGATGCATGGAGTAAGGCTCTTATTAATAGTAATGGTAATAGCTGTCCTTTATTGAGAATTAAGTCTGTACCGACCATGGTTAGGTGCTTTATAGACATTAATGCTCAGATCTGCTTTGCAGAATAGGTTATTCCATTTCAGAAGGTTAAGTGATTTTTCTCATGTTACAGAGCTAGTTAGTATTCAGAAATATCGTACTGTATCGCTTACACATCACAATACATGATTAATTTGGTGTTTATGTTAGGCTTTGTGCATTTAATAATATTGCAGAATGCAAAAATAAATCAGATTACAAAGTAAACTTTTATTTTAATTGATTTTCTTAATGTTAACCTCATAGTTTTGATGGCTCACTCTCTTTATCTTTGTAATTATTTTCTTCCCTTATATTAATTTAAAATTTAATTACCAGTTTAAACAAAGTTATATTAAATGGATAATCTTTTGAGCTGTTATTATATATGCTCTCTTATTACTTTCAATTACTTGTTTTGTTTGATTTGTAGATCTAATTAGCTGGTGGGTGGTAATTAGATCTACCCCAGGCATGTAAATACCTACTATCCCAGGCATGTAAATGCCTACTTTACTTCTGGGAAATGGATTAGAAACTACAGATCCTTATGTTTCTTTTATGACTTTTGCAGAATACTATGACTTATGCTTAATTTCCCCTTTGACTCTCCCAGCTGGAGAATCGGGCTCAGCTGACACTGTTCGTGACCCTCGTGGGTTTGCAGTGAAATTTTACACTGAGGATGGTAACTGGGATCTTGTTGGAAATAACACCCCTATTTTCTTCATCAGGGATGCCTTGTTGGTAGGTGGTAGCATATTTTATGTTTCACAAATGTTGCTTTAAATTGATTTCAACTGCTCTGTGTAGGTTGGCATATGAGGAGAAGCCTCAGGAAAGGCAGAAAGAAGAGAATTTGGGTTGTCTGGATTGTCCTTTTAAATATATTTTTTACATTTAATATCTCTTTATAAGATCAAATGACAACAATACTGTTAGTCTTGGTTTTGGCATTTCAAGATTCATTGCCTTAAATGGGAAGAGTATAGTTTTCCTTGTAGAACATTGAAGATTAGTCAAAAGAGGGGCTTTGCCCTAAAATATGTAAAGGATGTCTCTGTTGGAGGTGCATATAGACCTTGATTTTGTGTGTGTGTGTGTGTGTGTGTGTGTGTGTGTGTACCTATTTATTTTTCTTTAAGGAGTTACTTTAACTTTGTATATTTGAAATACTTTAGGTATCTTAGGTACTACTTGTATGTGCTGAGTAAATTTCATTTTAGAGTTTGACAGTTTAAATTCTAGTATTGTTTAGAATTATGATCCATAAATGAGCAGTAGGCAATGTACAATGTAAGACACCATAATTCCTATAAACTTAGTTTTTGGAATTTTTTCTTTTTTCCCCATTTAGTTTCCGTCCTTTATCCACAGTCAAAAGAGAAATCCTCAGACACACCTGAAGGACCCAGACATGGTCTGGGACTTCTGGAGTCTACGTCCTGAGTCTCTGCATCAGGTGGGAACCTTATTTTTCCACTGAATTATACTACATCACTGGGGTGAAACTGTGAATTAGGCCTCGTGATTCTCCAGATGGGGCTGCTTTATAGGAATTGTCTTCTGATTTTTTTCTGGAATGTTTCCTCAAATTTCTTGATCTCGAAGAGTTTTATAATGACTGATTTTATTTCTCATCATTCATAGGCCTTGAATGTTGATGCTAGATAACTGGAAATATTATAATTGACAATTAGCAATACTAAGGATTAAAGTCTCTAGTCTGAGATGAAGCTCTACATTAGGAAAAAAGAGGAAAATAATACTAAACTATTTTGCTATTAAAATGTATTTTGAATAATGGCTTAAGCTAGTTTTCAGATTTTTTTTAGCTTCTCTCCATGGAATTCTGAGTCATGACATTAATGATTTGTTTATCATCCTGCTTTGAAACTTTTCTCTTTGTTATTTTCTATAAATGAAATAATACTGGTATTTTCCCATGGGATATTGATTGGTATGTTCTGTGTCATTAAGGGATGTTCTGGAAACTTAAGAATGTCTTAAAAACATCGGATGTTTTGATTTAAACCGAGAGATTTGAGGCTTTAACTTCTCTTCCTTAGGTTTCTTTCTTGTTCAGTGATCGCGGGATTCCAGATGGACATCGGCACATGAATGGATATGGATCGCATACTTTCAAGCTGGTTAATGCAAATGGAGAGGCAGTTTACTGTAAATTCCATTATAAGGTATATATGATGCCTTTGAGGTAGAGGCTCCTACTATTCACCTCTCCTTATTCTTTCTGAAGTCTGAGCAGGAATTTGAGCTTCTCTCACCTCTTCCTTTCTTCCACTGCCTAGGATAGAAAGTATTGGTCTAGTTGATTAGCACTGTGAATATTGTGTTGACCCCCACCCAATGAGTAAATTCATGCTGTTCAGTTAGAGCTGTGTGTAGTCTCTCTTTGATCTCTACTTTATGCATGGCCAGAGGTAGCACATAACTACTGTCAACAGTTCAAGTTTTTTTTTCCCCCTTCTCCTGTAAGTTCTTACCTGTAAGTTCTGATATATATATATATATTTAAATGCTCATTTTGTGCTGTCTCTCTGGGTTAGTGTTTCTGCTGTTAGTGTTTCTGGTGCATGTTAAGATTTTCCTCTGAAGTGGGAAGACAGAAGGTTTTGGTTTGAACTCAAAGGTAGGGAGATGATTAAGGTTTCCAGGCTAGGCAGAAGGAGATTTCTACCTAGGTTATCCCAGCTTCTCGAGAGTTCTTTGTTGGAGTTTGGAATCAAGCCCTAGCAAATAGTGAAGTGTTGTGGGGCTCTGCCTTTCCAAGCCCAGAGTTATTGCCCTTTTAGGGTCCAGAACAGGATTAAGGCAGATCAGTGCACATATCAATCTCACCATCAGTTCTAGCATCTCATATTATTGTCTCAAAAACATTTCTCCTAATTTTTTATGTGATCCATTGATTTATTTAGCATTTATTGAGGTTGTATTATGAGCAAGGCAAAAAAAGTAAAATCAGTTACAAATGTCAGAAGACAAAATAATACTTTTCTTTTTTAAATTTGCTTTCATATACTTAGATCAAATTACTTCTGGAGAAGCTTGGGGGAACTTCTTAATCAACTGAAATAACTTAAAGTTATGATCTTGGCACTTATTACAATAAGTGATATTACCAATGAACTCCAGAGAGCTAGTTAAAAATAGAAGCCTATTTCTATTTTTAAAAATAGAAGCCTATCTGTTTCCAAATACTACTGCTAAAATAGGCAGAAGGAAGTGGCTTCCTGATCAATGAAGTATCCCTTTTAGTGACATCAAAAAGCCCTCTTCTCTTCTATCTTGACTTAGTTTTTATCTAAACAAATTGTGTAGGTATATCTTACACGGAAACATTAATCTCTTCTTGCATTTATGACTTGGAACAGTTTCTAGAAGCAGTTGATACATTGTAATTGTAAATGCCAAAAGGAGTCACTTAGAGCAAACTAAAGACTGTGTGTGGGGCAGCCAGCCTAGCTTTGGAGTTAGGCTAACCTGAATTCAAATCTTTACTTTTCTGCATAACTGAGACCTTGGGCATGTTACTAAAAGTTCTCTGTGCACCAGTTCTTTTCACTGTAAAGTTGGGATAATACTGCTGGCCATAGAAAGACTGAATTGCTTACATGTCTACTCATTAAGATATCCTGAGGTAGCTGAGGTGTTCATGGAGTCATCAGTCTGTATTCTTCTGACCTATGAGGATTCCTTTCTAAGCTCAAGGGATTCAGTCGAGGCTATAAGAGTATTTCAATATTGTTGCACAGTTTAATGTATTAGCTCTTTGGGTAGTCTGCACATAGTGAGCTTCATGTTTTAATCCTGAAGGTGGCCTGGCTTTTGGACCACTAGTAAGAAGAGTTCAAACTTTGCCACTTACTAAACAGAGTTGAAATTTCTATGGTAGAGGTAGAGCAGCCTCCCAGAGTTGCTTTTTGCTCAGGAAGTCTTTCCAGGACACTTGGCTTGCTGGGGGTCTATTAGAATAAGGATCCTGGTGAGCAGTGTAGGAGCAGTGTGGTATGATAATAAGAGCACTTGTGAAAGTAGTTTAACTTCCTCGATTTTTTTGGTTTGTTTGGAGAGTCAGAATATTACTTTTGCCCATTCATAATTAGAGAACCAGTTCAGAGCAGCTGTTCTTTTCAGCTCTGTGAACTACTATTCTGTGATTTTCTTAAAACAAAACAAAACAGGAAGAATGTGGGGATTGGAGAGATACTAGCTAAGTACAATCTCAGTAATTTATTTGAGCTGTTATAATATGGGATTTAAAACATTACAGGATGTAAAAAAAGGAAGTCCTTTAATTTTATTAATCTTTTGCTTATTTTTAAAATATATTTTGATTTTTTTATGGTTAGAAAAGTAACATGAGTAGAAAAATTCAAATAATATAGAATTAAAGGGAAATATAGAAATAATGTTAAATATAAAATGTATGGATGGATTTACTTGATATTTAAAAGAATCAGGATAATCAAGTAGAATTTCTTATTGATAAATTCACTAGTATCAGACTTAAACAATAAAACTATTGTAAAGAAAGCTTAGTCTTTGAGTAGGATTTCTCACAGTTGTTCAAGGAATTCTGATTAAGTTTTGATAGCTTGACCAGTAAGTTTGAGTTTGACCTCATTCTTTTCTTTCTGTAGACTGACCAGGGCATCAAAAACCTTCCTGTTGAGGAGGCTGCAAGACTTTCCCAGGAAGACCCTGACTATGGCCTCCGGGACCTTTTCAATGCCATTGCCAAAGGCAACTACCCCTCCTGGACTTTTTACATCCAGGTCATGACATTCAGAGAGGCAGAAACTTTCCCATTTAATCCATTTGATCTCACCAAAGTAAGTCAGCAACAATTATGTTGTTTATTTTTGAAGTCTCTTCTTACCTAATTAAGAAAACAACACAAATCCCAATGGCGTGTTCACAGTAGCAGGGACATCATAGACAACATGTGGTGGCAGCACTTCAGGTCTTGTTGCTATGGGTGAGGCCCCCAACATCCCAGTTCCATACTTCTGTTGGATAAGAGCATGGAGTTTCTATAGGGGGCTTCACTTATTGTTATTAGCAGGGAATGAATTTTGGAAATCTGATATATTTTTGCCATGGGAAAGGGCCAATACTTACTACTTACTGTTGTTAAAGATTTTAGTTACATTCTCACCTTAAATTCTTATCATGTTTTGTTGGGTCAAAAATTATTTTCACCAACTTGATTATATTTGAAGGTTGATATATTCATGGGCACCTTTAATGCTCTTTCGTTGGTTGTCTGGTAATTGTGAACATGACATTCTTTTCAGGTTTGGCCTCACAAAGACTACCCTCTCATCCCCGTTGGCAAACTGGTTTTAAACCGAAATCCAGTTAATTACTTCGCTGAGGTTGAACAGATAGCCTTTGACCCGAGCAATATGCCACCTGGCATTGAGGCCAGTCCTGACAAAATGCTTCAGGTAAGCTTGGTGGATTGAGATGTTCTCAGGCAGGTGTCCTGTTTGTGAATACACACACATATGCACACACACACACACACACACACACACAATACGTGATTTGGCATGATCTTTATATCAGGAATTAATTAGAACATTTACTTAAACTTTAACCTGGGTGCTTAGTTCCTTGTGGAACTCATTGGGCTGAAACATCCTTAGATGGGCATTCCTAAATAAACCAGTTTTAAACCAAGTTCTCTAGTAAAGTTCCTACATATGTGAAGATGTGAACATTTAGTCTCTTAATTAAAAATAAAAAACATAATAGAAGTACCGTAGGTATCTGTAGGGTAAAGCATGGTTTTGGCCTGAGATGGCCAGGAGGGAATAATAATTAGATTAGAACACCTTAGTCAGCATAAGTTCATCCATTTCCTATTCCATGGTGTTGTTTGCATTTTTCATCCATAAAGACAGATCTGGGGACAATTTTTATGAATTAAACTGCCAGTGATTAAAGGCAGATTAATTCAGTGATATGTCTTGCAGTAGTTGCTAGGCATTCAGGGCCCGTTTTCACTTACCAATATGCTCTTCCAAGAGTACAAAGAATGGAGATTCTACTTTGGACCACAAATCGGTAGGAAAATAATTGGCTTAATAATTAACATGAAAATAATTTTTTTTGTGTGTGTGTTTTTGGACTTTGAGAGCAAAACAGAGGTTAAAGATCATACCCTAGCTCAGACCACAGTGACTAAAGGTTGCTAGTTATGTAAGTTCTGATTCCAGGGCGGGTGTCAGTCTCCATGGAGTACAAGCTAAGATTCCGGTTTTTAAATTTTTTTAAATATTGACTTTTTGCTATGACATTAGGGATATCTAGGGCTTTTATAGAAAGTATGTTTTGGCTTTAGTTTTTGTTTCTTTTAACTAACATAAATTGAGTACTTTTCTATTGTGTGTAATAGCCCTGTCCTAGATGCTCTGACAGATATAAAAACACAAGATGACCACAACATAAGGCAGAGTGCCATGATGAATCCAAACCTGAAATGTTATCTGATCAGAGGTCTGTGACAGAGTTTTAGGAATGAGGTATCATTGGAGATGGGTTTTGAAGAATGGCGAGGATTTTTATTTTCAAAAGGTAAATGGGACAGGACAGGTAGAATATTTGGGGTATATTTAGCTACATTGTCATTCTTTCTTGAGTGAGAAGAATTGAGTTTGGACTGGTTCATTGAGTATATGTCAGAGGAGACTTTAAGAGCTTGAGTGGAAATTTAGACAGTTGTTCCTTCTAGGAAAACAAAAAGTTTCTTTGGTTTTTTGAGCAATGTGGTCTGGTAGATAACAAGTAGAATCACTCCTCTTGGTGATAAATAGAGAATGAGGGAGCAGGCAGCTGGGAATAATGAGGGAAATTTGAGCAGACTACAGTGCATAAGTAGAAATGCTTGCATTGAAACTGAGGAATTGAGGAAGCTAAGGCAGTGTGACCCTGGGCCCCAAAGATTTCCTGCCTGGGTTTGGAGGAGTGTTGAACTCTATGATGGAGGGGCTAATGGGGTTCACCATGGTGTGAAATTGTCATAGCCAAGCTAAGACTGCATAACTGTAGTATTGAGGAACAAAAGTTCACCTGAGTCTTCTCACACGAATCACTGGTCCCTGGGATCCCAGTGAGACCTGGAGGCAGGCACACTGAGTCACCTGATTAGTAGAACATTGAAGAAATAAATGGAATTCTAGGCCCAGGGAAAAGGACCAAGAGTGAATACCTATTCTCTACAACAAAAGCAAATGCATGTATAAGGCATTTGAAATTATGTTGAAATTATGGGGAAAAAGGATGACAAGAGGAAATCATGTCATTTCCACATTTTAGTTCAGACAAGTATATATGTTTTAACTTAAGTGTGCTTTAGTTTTTCCTGATGAATTTTTCAAGTGTTTGTAAGAACTTCTCTAAGTTTTATCAGACTGTCGATCCTATCCTAGCTTTTCCCATAACTTCTCAGGTCATTTAGTTGTGAATTCTTATTCCACAAAATTCTTTAGGAGCTATGCAGTTGAGAAAGAACTGTAGTACTCATTTAGCCATTTGGTAACAAGTTTAAGGTGTTTTAATAGATTAGTGATATAATCTGATTGGGCTTTAGGAAGATTCTTTTGGTAGGATGTATTGTTGGAGGAGGGAATGGAAATGGAGAACTAGTTAGGAGGACTTTGAAATTGCTCCTGATGAGAGTCAGTGAGGGCTGCAGCTTGGGCAGTGGAAGTTGGGGTGTTAATGCACAGTGTTCTGATTTACCTTTCACAGGCCTTACTAACAAATTTTAAGACTTTATCCAAAATGATAAGCCAGACCACTGTGAAATGAACAAAATAGTGTAATGTGAGTCCCAGAGAGACTGTCCCAGAGTACCTGACAGTGCAGGTGCAGCGTCTTTACTCCCACACTCTTCAATTTACCAGCTGGAGTTGGAGAAGTGGGCCAGTTGCTTGCATGCAAAGGGATTGGTCTGCTTTTTCCTCCAGGCTCAGGAAGGGCGCGCAGGGGCAGGGCCTTGAGTAAGACCTAGATTCAAGTTGATGTCAGGTATGGCCTCACTGTGCCCATTTCATAACCTTTGTGGATCTCCACCCGTAGACGGGGCAGGTTGATGGAAAACCAGAACTCATGTGATAGAGGCTATATTCAGGAGTTGCTTATAGCTAGATTGTATCTTGTACCCTGTTGATAAGAATTGGAGCACAACTTCTTGAGCCAAAAGAGGCAACCAGCTTCTCAACCGTAGCTGGGTTTTAGTCATGGCTGCATGACCAGCCATCTGAGCATTATCTTAGACTATCTAAAATGACAATGGGAGTGGAGTTTTCAGTCAAGAGCATTTTGTGGACAGAACTGTGGGACTAGGTTCTACATGCCAGTAGGGATGATTTGGTATAGAATATTCAACTTGGCTTTTATTTTTGTCTTGTCAAATTTGGGATATAAGAATACTGATTAAGATTCAAGATCAGTGATCAAGTCAATGAAAGAAAAATTGCTTATAGAGTAGAATTTTGAATAATGAGAATAGTTCAATATTGAAATTGGATATTAAAACTGATCATAAAGTTTTAATGAAAAAAATGTCAAAATGCTTATCTGCCTTGGTTCATACAAAGCATTTATCAATCTTTGATTTGTTACCTTTGACATTGTAGAGTGACAATTTTGAGCCAGTTTTCTTTGTGTAGTACTTTGTTTAGACCTAAAAGGTTTCAGAACTCCCAGCATACCTGAGACGATTCAGAATGCAATATGGAAGGTGCTTCTTTGAAGAATTTCCATGTAGTTGGATTTGTAGAAATGTGCTGCTTTTTAAGAGCAAACAGTTGATTTCTTCTCTAGAGTTGGGAAATGAGGAGGTTTGGAATTAATTCAAGATTCTGGTTAGTTAGATTCCAGCAAATTTATTTTACAATTTTAAACTTCCTTAGAAATGGTAAATAATATAAGACAGAATACTTTCTTGTCATTTGGGAGGAAAAAGAGGCGTTATTTTAGCACAGACATGAAGTTTATAGGTTGCCATGTGGCCTTAAGGTCACATGGTGGTTCGGTTAGGGAGAACTCACTTCATAAATGAGACCCTGGCTCTTTGAAGAGGTGATAGGCAGAGTTTTGTGGTGACCATGAACAAGAGTCCTTTTCACATTAAATGTTACAATGACATTTATAGCCACTTCCTATTTCATAAGTAACTGTCTCTGTCATGTTTATTACCCTAGGGCCGCCTTTTTGCCTATCCTGACACTCACCGCCACCGCCTGGGACCCAACTATCTTCAGATTCCTGTGAACTGCCCCTACCGTGCTCGAGTGGCCAACTACCAGCGTGATGGCCCCATGTGCATGCATGACAACCAGGGTAGGCCTTGGCTCCCCTGCCAGGGCAGAGGGCACAGAGGGCAGGACACCAGACCAGTGGCTTTCAAACCATCCCCACAGGACCTCCTTTGCTGTGACAGTCTCCGCAGGTGCTGCCAGTGACCAAGTATTTCTTGCCCAGCACTATTGGTTCAGACTTCCCCAGGACTCTCCCCCCTGTATCTCTTTGATGCATTTTGTCAAGAGTTCCTGCCTCAGATTTTACTTTGCTGGCCATCTGATAGTTGAAGGCAGGGAGAAAGATCTTGCCATTTGGCTGTACTAGAGTGAAGCTTATATGGGAGTTACAAAATGGACGGTTCCTCACATCACTAGGACTTAGATCCTTGGCAGTGCAAAGCCAAGACCTGATGTCTTCTGCCTTTTTTTATGGTTCTGTTGAGGCCGTGGAGGAGCAGGTCCATCTGGGGTCTGGAAGGGATAGGATGGGCTAGTGGGAGGAGAGAAAGGAAGGCAGAGAAGTCAAGGGATTTTCTGTGCTGAGGGAATGTGGTTGAATTCATGTGGATGGATCCGGCAGTGAGCTGGGAAAATCCCAACCGCAGGCTGGTTTGCGCAAACCACTGGGTGCTTCTAGGCCACTCCTTGTTTAGACAGAAGTGAGATCAACTGGCGAGACGACAACCCACTGCATTTTGGTTTTTTGGAGTTCATTTACCAAATTTATGAGTTTTTTCTTTTAATTCCTTTTTGGGTGCTATTTACAGTCTTGGATTGTTAATTACTTATGCTAGTTAGCCAAGCAGAATGCCTGATTAGTGTTTTTCTCTCACTGTCCCACAGTTTAGTATAGATCTTAGTGTTATAATTCTTACCTGGGACATATGTGTTTCAGTACCAGGTTGCTTATATTGATCTCTTCAGAAATTTTGCTGATGATTGATATTTATAGTCATAGATGCCTATATAAAAACAAAATTTATTTTTCTATGATAAAAACAAATGTGCCTTAAAGGAAATTTGGAAAATACAGAAGAGAAGAAAATCTCTTCATGGTCCCAGAATCCCAAGGCCACGACTGGGCATTTTACTGTGTTTCTTGCTGTTCTTTTCTATTAATATTTTTTATACTTTAGATTATTTTATATATGTAACTTTGTGCTTTGCTCTTACTATGGCTATTAATCCTTTTCCACTTATGGAACAAGTCTACACGCTTCCTAACTAATTCTAGTAGGTGGCTGCAGTATTTTTGTTCCCTAACTTACTCAGAGGTGTGATTGTGTCATTGCCTCAAGTAGTCTTCTGTGTTTTCATTCTTCTGTTCGTTGTTTTTTCCATTCACTTTCTTCAGTCCTTTTTTTGTTGAAACTGTCAATCGGAGATCAATGTATCTTTTGAACTTTACTCATAAACAACTACTTCATGTTTACCATTCTTGTTTACCATTACAGTGGCATTCTTAAGGAAAAAACTGCGTATGGATGTATTTGACATGCTGCCTGATTCTAGAAGTAGAGCATGTGGGCTGTGCTTGTAAAGTTCCATGAAAGAGTTTAATTATTCCCAAGTTAGTGCTTTAAAGACAACTCCCACTTTGAGTAAAGGTCAGAGCTTTTTTGGAAATGGAATTTTGAAATTACTCAAAGATCATGTTAAAGATCAAATTCTTAGTGCAGAAAACACTGGTAGCTGATTGTTGGAGCGTTTTGGAGACATAGCTGACAAATTTCTTGAGCTAGTAATTGAGCTTCGTAATGGCGATATGTGTCACTCAGGTAATGGTTCCTTGTCTGCCGTGGAGGTCACTTGCTTATTCTCTCTGTTGATACTTGGTGCCCTGATTGGTATCATGCATAGGCATCTCTTAATTATCCACTGTGGATAATGTGCTCTGGCAGTGAGCTAGGTAAAATTCCAACCACAGGCTGGTTTGCGCAAACCACTGAAGTTTCTATTTAGGCAATGTGGGCCCAGATAAGTCAGCTTCCACAGGTCTCAGCTGAGGCAGAGTGTCATTTGGAAACCAAGTATGCCAGAATGGGAAAAAAAAGCCTGTGTCATAGAAAATATTGTGATTATATTTGTCATTATTTCTTTCTGTAAAGTCCAGATAAATGAATGCTGACACACTACAAATATAAAATTTTTAAAAATATCTTTTTTACTAGTCTATGGAGGAATGTGAAAGTAAAGCTAGAATCAAAGACATCATAGTAAAAGAGAGATAATGTGAGAATTTTAAAAACATTTAAGGACAGTGGAATAGAGTTTGGTAATGGCCAGATATAATAAATAGGCTGTGCAGGAAGATGAGAAGCCCAGAGCTCTCGCCCACATCGCCTGCTGACTCATTCCTGGGTGACCTGCACAGTCCCTTAGCATCTCAGAGCTCCATAACTGGTCTGTGGATGGAAGGAACAGGGCTAGAACTTTCAAGTTATTCCTAAGAGTTCTGTGATTCAGTGTTCAAGTGGAACCCAAGTCCAAATAAAACTCTTCGATTTGAAATGTGTCTATGAGTCTAGTCTCAGTAGTGATCATCAAATCTTTGAAAACTTATGCTTGTGCGGGTGAGCATCAGGAGACTACATAGCTGAGAACTGTTGACAGGTTGAAATGGACTTGGAGGTCTCTGTTCACTCAGGCTGAGGCAGCCCATATGAGCATTGAGAAGACAAAGCCTTCTCTAAGACTCTTAGCCCTGCCTGCAGCCAAGTCTGAGAAGTGAAAAATTGCACGTGTGTGTATATGTGTATTTGATTACCACTTGAATTTTTTTCCTTGAATATTAATTGCTTGCCTACTGGTTTCCGTCTTCATATTGCTAATGAGTCTTGTTTTCCTTTAAAGGTGGTGCTCCAAATTACTATCCCAACAGCTTTTGTGCTCCGGAACAGCAGCCCTCAGCCCTGGAGCACGGCTCACAGGCCTCTGCAGATGTGAAGCGTTTCAACAGTGCCAATGAGGACAATGTCACTCAGGTAATGGTTCCTTGTCTGCCGTGGAGGTCACTTGCTTATTCTCCCTGTTGATGTCTGCCTCTTTCCCCCCTCTCTTAAAGTGTCTAACTTCTTAAATTGAATTCAGAGAAGACTTATCTCTAATAGGAACCCATGATCTTTATTGGAAGGGGTTGAATAGTTGTATTACCGTGCTCTTTCCGTTCAAGGTATGGAGACTCATCTCAGTTCCCTTAAGTCTTTTTTTTTTTTTTTTATAGAGAGAGAGAGAGAGAGAATTTTTAATATTTATTTTTTTTAGTTTTCGGCAGACACAACATCTTTGTTTATATGTGCTGCTGAGGATTGAACCCGGGTTGCATATATGCCAGGCAAGCGCACTACCGCTTGAGCCACAACCCCAGCCCCTCCCCTAAGTCTTTTTTTTTTTATTTTTTATTGATTGTTCAAAACATTACAGAGCTCATGATATATCATCTTTCATACATTTGACTCAATTGGGTTTTGAACTCCCATTTCTACCCCAAATACAGATTGCAGAATCACATCTGTTACACACTCACATTTTTACATAATGGCATATTAGTGACTGTTGTATTCTGCTACCTTTCCTATCCCCTACTATCCCCCCTCCCCTCCCCTCCCCTTCCCCTAAGTCTTATTGAAGAGATATAGCTGGGGCTGCTGGGAAAATGTGTTTTCACAGAAATCTAAGAAATGAGCAAGTACAGCTTAAGCACCATCAAATCTACTTAGATGTTTTTCCTGTTCCTTTGATTGACTTAATTGTTGTTTTAAAATATGAATATTTCTATCATTTATCATTTCTATTTTGGGTGATAATCCTGGCCAATATCTTTTTATACTGCTTGAAGCCAGTTTAAACCAACTATTGCATTTTCTTCAAGTTAGTTTTTAAGTAATGATATTACTAGAAGCAACAAGTCTACATAGCAACCAAGTGAGAGGTATGTTGTTGTTCCTCCTGTGACTATTGGTGAGCATAGGAAGGCAGTGTGCCACAACTCCAAGGTTTGCAATGGTGTGATCCTCAATATTGTCACAAAAGCTCTGTTTCTTAATGTTGTGAGTTTCAGATCCGTAATCTGTTAAATAACCCCTTCCCCACTGCCAGGCCCTTCTCAGAGCCTTTCAAATGTTACATGTAGCATTGTCTTTTTTTATTCTTTTCTCTGCCCTTTTTGTGTGTGTTTGTGAGTGTGAGGAAGCACCTTCTACTCCTCTTAATACTTCTGTGTTAGATTCTAGAGAGAGAGAATCAGATGGACTCAGCTAATCTTTTCACCCTGGCTTCTGTGTCATTGGTCTCTGGTCATCCTGTAGTTGACTGCCGCAGGTCAGGTGCTCATCCTGTTTCCAATCACCTATGGCTACCCTAAGGGGACTTTCAGTAGCTGCTGTGAGGGACTTATGCATGGGCAGCTCCATGCCAGTCATGTGTTCAGTGCAACTTACACCACACTCACAAGAATAAAGTTAAAAAATGTAGTTGTTCTAGAGTTCTATACAGGTCATTTATGTTAAACTTAGTATTTAAATTGGGTTGGAACCTATTTCTAGTTTCTCAATATGAGAATGTAGATTCCAAGTAAGATATACTTAAATATACGAATTAATTCACTGGGAGGATATATTTGAAAGACATTTGCATGTATGTGAGTGTGTGTGTGTGTGTGTGTGTGTAAACATTATTTTAAGATATAAACCATGTTTAATTTAAAATAGCTCCTATAAAACTTTTATATTTTTAGTGATGCAGTGTTACTAAGTATATTGCTGCATACTCCCTGTCTTGCAAAGAAATTTGCCTGTGCTGGGTCAATATAGGTACAATATGCATCATACAACTCTTGAATAAATTAATAATGAGGCTACTGTTTGCACCTTAAAATTTACCGTGTGATCCTTGGTATATTGAGAGATCTTCTTATGACCATTTAGTATGCACATTTCTAAGCAGTCATGCTACTATTATTATAGATTTATAACATGATTATATAATGATAAGTCATATGGGAAATAAAGAAGATTCAGATTTATTCTGTTAAAAATGATTCACGTGGACTCCTACTCTGGCTCTGGCAGACCTATCCACTTATGGAGAACATTGGAATGCTAGGGAAAATATAGAAAGCATGTGGTTCAAGGTTTTGGAGAGTTAATGAAGCAAGGATTTAAGGGATCAAGATGTCAGAGAGAAGGAAGTGCAGGAAAAAGAAGGTGCCAGGTAAGCCTGAAGTTTCTTGTCCTCTCCTCATAAAGCATTTATTAATGTCTTGCAAGAATGGGTCAGAATGCCGGTGGAGTTCATAGCAGTTTCATGGGCCTGCAGCCCAGGGTCTGCTGAGGAGGAGAACCAGAGGTTCCACCCCAGGCTCCAGCTGGAACCCTGAAGGGCCATGCCTAGGAAGAAGGGCAAACCTGAAATAAACTTGTTCTCCCAGGAGCTGAAACGCAGCTGTGCATCAGCTCAGTCTCAGACAGGATGTGTCGGAACGCCACCACAATCGACATAGACTTCTGTGACCTTGAAAGGCGTGGGGATTTCTTGCCACCAGCAAGCAAGTGGTCCAGTCTATAGTGGACACTAGCTGGGTGTATTAGTCAGATTTTCAATGTTGTGAAAAATACCCTGAGAAAAATGACTTAAAGGAGGAAAGATTTATTTCGGCTCACAGTTTCAAAGATTTCGGTCCATGGTCAGCAGCTTCATTGCTTTGGTCCTGAGGTATAGAATGTCATGGCAGAGAAGAGCTGCTCAGCTACTAGAGGGCAGGAAGGAGAGGAAAAGGGAGAGGGAAAGGGGGAGGGAAAAGAGGAGGGAGAGGGGGAGGGAGAGGGGGAGGGGAGGGACGAGGGAAGGGGAGGAAGAGGAAGAAGAGGAAAACAAAACAAAGCAGGACACTACCAAATGATCAACATCCTCCAACTAGGCCCTGACTTCTAAAATATCTACCAACTCCCATAATGCCATCAAATTATTAATCCATCAGTGGATTAATCCTTGATGAGGTGAGAGGCCCATCACTATTCCAAATCCCACCTCTGAACGTTGCTGCATTGGGGAACAAGCCTTCAATAGGAATTTCCTTGTCGGGGGGGACTTCATAACCAAGCCATAACACTGAGTGTCTCCTAATCTAATTCATTTCTCACATTACCTAGAGTGTCAGATCCCACAGGTTGAGGGCTCTGTCCCTGAGACTGCTCTCCCTCACCCCTAATGCTCATCTCAAGCCTCAAGGTTTTTTTTTTTTTTTTTTGCCTGTGCTTCTCACTATAGAGATATAAATTAGGGTTCCCACAACCCTCTCCTCAGGTTTGGTTCAGTTAATTTGCTTGAGTGGTTCACAGGACTTGGGGAAATATGTTTACAGCTCTATTATTAAGGATACTACAGAATATACAGATGAAGAGCTGCATAGGGCAGGGTATGAGAGAAGGGCACAGTGCTTCTATGCCCTCTCTGACAGTACACCCTCCAAGAAGAACCTCATGTTCAGCTATCTGGAAGCCCTGGGAACCCTGTTTTTTTAAATTTAATTTAATTTAATTTTATTGCATATCTAATGCTACTGCTCCTAGACTGAGTAGGGAAACCCAGCAAGATCTGTTCAGTTTCTGCTTGGCCTCTGTGCAGAAATTCTCCCTTCTGTTTATGGGACTTTCTGGAATGAGGAGTGTGTTATGATCTACTGTCAGACAAGAATAGAGAATTTCTTTATGGCAACTCCAACACAGAGAGACAAGGGAAGATATGACCTCCTCAGGGAAGAAAAATACTATTTTCTATGGCCTACTTTGGGGAGGAAGTTCTGAGCCAGGAACCATGGCCCTAAACCAAATGTACATGCTGTAATATCACAGGTGATCTTCTCCATTCTAATGCTTCCCCGAAGCAGACATAAATCTTCTTTGGCAGATAATAGAACCTCAGATCATATCTAGATCTTTTCACGTATAAATGTCAATTCAGTAATAATAAGGTACACCTAACACATAAGACTTTATGACTGAAAAATCAAGAGATATGAAGAAAAAAACAAAAACTGACAGTACAAACAAACATACTGGAGATGCAGATAATGGAATTGTAAGATGCAGGTTTTAGAATAACCATGATTAATGTTTTCAAGAAAATAGATGACAATAAGGGGAATATTATAATTTTAATCTATAAAAAATTAAATAGACATACTGAACTAGAAATCGCAACAACTTAAAATAATAACATAGTAGATGAATTTAAAAGGAAATTAACAGCTGAAGAGAAGATTAGTGATTAGGGCAGTAGATAATAACACTAGCTCATGAGGAAAGAGAACTCTTTATCATGAGACTATATATATACACACACACACACACACACACACACACACACACACACATACATACATATACATACTACACACACACAGTCCTGGGGATTGAACCCAGGGGCTCATGCATGCTAGGCAAGTACTCTACCAGTGAGCCATATCCCCAGCTCTATGAGACATCATTTAGAAATTGAAAAGAAAAATTACAGAATGGGGAAGATGTATTTGCAATTCATCTAACAAATGAGTTATATACAGAATATATGAGGATCTCCTACAGAGCAATCTGAAAAAGTCTACTGGATAGAAAAATGAGCAGTCCAATAGGCACATCACCAGGTAGATATCCAAATGGTTGAAAAAAGGTGGTTTCCTTCAATAATCATCATTAAAATGCCAACTAAGAAACACTGCTACACTTGTACCAAAATAGCTAGAATTAAAAAGAAACACTGCTACACTTGTACCAAAATAGCTAGAATTAAAAAGATTGCCCTATCAAGTGTTGTGAGAACAAGAATAACTCTGACGTGAGTTTAGCCTAGTTCAGCTGTTTTGGAAGGTTGTTTGACAATATCTGTTGTAGCTGAACATATGCTTGCCTTTTGACCCAGCAGACCCACTCTTCAGTTGATACCCAATAGAAAGCTATATATACACGATCATTTGAAGACATTTATAAGACTGTTCATGCTATCCAAATGTTCATTTAATGAAAGAATGGAAAAGTAAGCAACAGTATATTCTCACAATGTATAGTAATGGAAATTTATAAACTATTGCAATAAACCAACAATACAGTTGAATTTGTACAAACATGACTTTGAGCAAAAAGGCCAAATAAGAATATAGGCTGTATGATTACATTTCAAAAAACAAAGCCCGAACACATTTATACTATTAGAAGTGAAAATGAATTGCCTTTAGGTAGGAGAAAGGGGATTTCTGAGATGTGGGTATTATTTCATCTTTATTTGGGTGGTCGCTACACAGTTGTGTTCACTGAAACATTGATCTTTACACTTATGATTGATGCTCTTTACTGCCACGTATGTTTCACTTAAATTAAAAAGGTTATTAAAGAAAAAAAATCTCTTACTTTGCATTGACTGGTAACTATGACACTTTTTTTTTTTTTTAATAAAAAAAGGAATTTGGTCCTGCCACAAAGGGTCAATGGTTAACATGTGGAGCTGATGGAGTGGTTTCAGATCCTTTATTTATTGATGATAGAACAGTCCATGTCCCTCTGCAGTGAGCAACTAAGTTGTAGGGTAGTGGTTGTTAGCCAGACTTGAGAACATGCAAGTCAGAGCACAGGAGAGTCCTCCAGTTGAACTTCTTCAAAGTTAACTGCCTTTATTTGAACAGTAGTGAAGACAGAAGCTAGGGTTGGGTGAAGAGTCTTCCTGTTCATGCTATTTGTGATGTAGTCTAGTTAGGCCACATGCTGAAATAGGTGTGCTGTTTATCTTTGTACACACATGTGGGTACTTTTTTATTTGCTTCTAAAAACTGGAGATTGATCAAATCTCTAGAAGAATAAATATTTTGTGGGGGTTTTATTTAGTCATGTGTTGACAAATACTTAACTCTTGACTCTCTGGGGGAGAAAGTTGTGGTTTGTAATGTTCATCAATTTTCAGGGTGGGGCTATTCCCCAAGGCAGATGTTTTTTTTTAAAAAAAAAATTTTAGCTGTAGATGAACACAATATCATTATTTTTTTAAAATTCATTTTTATGTGGTACTGAGGATCGAACCCAGTGCCTTACAAATGGGAGGTAATCGCTCTACTGAGCTACAACCCCAGAAAGGCAGATTTTAAGCTGCCCAAATGATATCCTTGAACCTATGGCTTTGGGAAGTGATGCTTAATATCACTGTTACATACTGTTTCCACCAGAGAGATAGTACAGATATAAGCAATCTTAAAACCACAGGTAATATGTCTTAATTATAAAGTGATGTGTTTTGAGTATTTCTTTCATCTTTACTGTTATTTCAGTTTTAAACTGATAGGATTTAAATTTTACAAAAGCATATTTAATAACTTTTTAAAAGAATTCCTGAAATCATGATAATGTACTTTTATGACAAGCTGGCTGTAGTGCACCACTGAAAATGTAGTAATTAATTCCTTTCTTAGTCCAAGATGGTAGATTGAGGTGACACAGTAGAGTTTTCTTTTTCTTCTCACACAGAAATGCTAGGTCAAATTTTTTTTTAAAAGAATAATGCAGCTCAGCTAATTATTATAATTAAGACATATTACCTGTACACTATCTTTAAGGCCCAGAAATGAAAATGGAATTAGTGAGTGATCATTGAAGTCTCATGGAGGTAACTAGACCTGATTTGCCCCTTATGAAGATTTTATGCCTCCAAAGGGTTAGGAGTGAGAACTGGGGTTATGGCTCAGTGGTGGGGCACCTAGCATGCCTGGATTGATTCCCAGCACTACATAAAAACAAACAAACCAAAGGTTAGAAGTAAGGCTTCAGGCTTCACGTGTTGTAGGGAGCTAGAATTGGTAAAGACCAGGAAAGAGCACCCCACCATTCAAACTGAAGATGCAACTTGGAAGCATGTGAGTTGTAAATGGAATCAATTTCTTCAATCCTGAGAAATTGGGAGTTCTTGCCCTCTCCTGTTCTCAAGTGAGGTATCTACATTCTGGTCCCATCTAGAGCCACATGGAAGCTGTGTACTAAGAAACAAGTAAATCAGTGAGCCCTTTTGGGCTTCGCAGAGAGGATGAGAAAATCACCACATGAAGATATCTTCACAGATGGGACACATTTGGTACTTACATAGAAGATAATTCCTGTTGAATATGAGTCACGGGAAAACTGCAATACATACAATGAAATCCAGTGGCCTGAGAAATTGCTGATGGAAGAATCATACACCTGATAATCTGAAAGTGCTTTTAAAATAAGCATGTACACATATTTAAGGAGATACAAGAATTAATCTATAAGAGAAAATTAGAATGTAAGAAAAATCAAAGAATGCCAGGTAGATTTGAAAAAGAACCAAATAGAAATTTCTAGAAACAAATAATCTTCAAAATAAAAATTCAACAGATATTGAATCCCAGTGGATGTTTATAAAAAATGTTAGATATAGTTAAAGAAAAAATTAGTTAATTGGAACTATGTCTGAGGAAATTCCCAGGGTGCAGTACTTTAATTAGATTTTGTTGAAGTCTGATTTTTTTTATTGGTTGTTCAAAACATTACAAAGCTCATGATATATATATCATCTTTCATTGAAGTCTGATTTTTTAAACTTTGTTATTAGATTTATATTTTCCTCAAAAAAAATTTTTTTTTGTATTGAGAATTGAAGCCAGGCTTTGCACATACTAGGCAAATGCTCTATCCCTGAGCTATAACCCCAGCCCCTTACTTTCCTCAAATTTAAGAGTATATGTAAATATTTGATTACTTTGAAAAATGATATATATCTCAAGATTTTATGAATTTTATAACTGCATAATTGGATATTATTGAATTTTATAAACATTAACAAAACATTGTGCAGAGCTGAGTCTGTCACATTAATCATACTTAACAGATACTTGTTGAATGAATGAATGAATGAATGAATGAAATGTTAGAATAAAATCATAGCTACAACCTAGAAATGGTTGATTTTAGGATCAAGCAGAGATTACTAGAATTCATAGATGTTAATCTATCAGCATTTGCTATAGTAGTAAATTCAGCAGTCTAAGCAAAATATCACTATCAATATCTGTCTTGCCAATGTAAGCACTGATATACTATTTAAATGAATTAGTTTTTTCTTCTCATGGTTCTGGGAAAATTGAACAAAGATTGTATTATGTTACATTTACATTCAGAGACAACTTGCACATTTTCGACTTATTGATATTAAAATGTGGTGTATTTGTAGGCCTTGTATTTATAGAATGTTTATAAGCATTGACTATGAAGAACATTATTAAAAAACACTCATGAGCTATTAGGAAATGAGTCCCTCCTGTCTTGCTTAAAACACAAGAAAACACAAATGGCAGTTCCAATTATTTTATATTATCCTTAAATTTTAAAAATGGTATTTTTCAAAAGTAGCATTTTGGATGTGTTTTGTGTGTGTGTGTGTGTGTGTGTGTGTCAGAGAGAGAGAGAGAGAGAGAGAGAGAGAGAGAGAGATAAATTGGTTGTTTGATTCTTTGTGCCTTCTTTTTGCTGAGCAGGTGAGGGAATTCTATACAAAAGTGCTGAATGAAGAGGAGAGGAAACGCCTGTGTGAAAACATTGCTGGCCATCTCAAGGACGCACAACTCTTCATCCAGAGGAAAGCGGTGAGTCAATCTTTGTAAGCTGAAGGGTGACATCTTCTGGCTGATGGAGGTAGTGCAGCGATGTGGGAGAACTTTAAAAGAAGTATCGTTTTTTCTTTTTTTTAATTGTTTCTTAGTTATACATGAAGTAGAATGCATTTGATATAATATAAAAGCCTGGAATATATCTTATTCTAATTAGGACCCTATTCTTGTGGATGTACACAATGGCGGTATTCACTGTGGTGTATTCATATATGTACATAGGGAAATTATGTCAGATTCATTCCACTGACTTTCCTTTTGCTATCCCCCTACCTTCCCCTCATTTCCCTTTGTCTAATATACTGAAAGAGCATGTCTCTCCTACTTAAATTGAGCCTAAGTAATAATATTTATTTTTTTTAAAGTAATAATCCTCAATGAATCTTTGATTATTTTCTAGTCTCATTTTATCTGGAATGACATATCTGCTGATCCTTAGCCTTTTTCCAGTGTGTAATAATTTTAATTGAGTTCAGGATGAATTCTTTCCTGTGCTATTTAATTTAACTGCTACCAACTTCTGTGCAGGATAGTAAATACAAGTCAATGTCTGATGCTCCTACTACCATTTCCTTAGGTTTTGGATGATAAGAAATACAGCTTACATATTTGTGGTTTGACACCTGCCTAAAGGCTTGATGTCATGACACCTTGACCCTCTTTCAGATGTAAGCTGGACACTTGCCTGTTTTCTGGGGTGAGAACTGGGAGACTTCCAGAAGGAAGGCCGACCTTTTGACTTGGGGAGAGGGTCTTTCTGCTGGCTGCTCACGGAGCTCTCAAGCTCTCTTACTTCTGGTTTCCTGGCCTGTCACAGGGACAAGCATCTTGTAAATCTAAGAGTCCTACCATTTCCTTGTGCTGCTGCTTTTCTGTTCATAGGGTAGCTGTGTGGGATGTTGAAGGCTTGGGTTCAGGAACCTGCAGAGAACCAGATGGTTGCTCTGGAACCTGGAAGAGCAGGTTTTATCTCATTTTTCTGGTGAGAGTGGATAAGATAACTTATAAGTAGCAGAACTGGGCTTGCATCCTTGGCAGTCTTTTGTCACATGTCCTGATGTCCCCCCTTCTCCTTCCACGTTCTGGGCTTAGCCTGCAGTCAGGAATTCCTGCCCGAAGTATGTGGGCTTTCCTGGTGGATGCCAGTGTCTCCATACACTTCACTGTGAACTCAGGCAGTGCTTCACACAGTTGCTAATAATAGTTGAGAACTTTGAGTTCAGCTCTCTGCATGTAGCAAATGCCACTCATCTCTTGTGTGTTCTTCTTATAATATTCTATGCGGTTGGTTCTGTGTGTGTTTTCTCCCAACGATAAGCAGCTCTCTGCTTCTCTGACAGTAACTGGGTGTCCCACAACTCAGTTCAATCCTAATAGCACCTGTCAGTATCTGAGTAAGTGTCAGAACCCACAGCTTAGAGGGTCGGCCCCACAAGACTGCCCAATGCAGTGTCCCACTACCCGCCTTCTGCATATTCTGACTACAGATCCAGGGGTTCCCATGGTTCTTCTTTGGGTTTGGTAATTTGCTAGAATGACTCACAGAACTCAGGAAAGAGCTTTACTTTACTTACCCATTTGTACAAAGGCTACAACTCAGGAACAGCCAAGTGGAGGTGATGCAGTGGGCAGGGTGTGCGGGCAGGGCCTGGAGCTCCCTGGCCTCTCTGGGGGTGCTACCTTCCTACAACTCACTGTGTCCTCCCATCCAGAAGCTCCTGACCCCTGTCATTTAGAGGTTTATGGAGGTTTCATTGCATAGGCTTGGGGGATGAAATGGTTGGCCCTGGAGACTGAACACAATCTCTAGCTCCACTCCCCTCCTGGAGGCTCAGGGATGGACGGGTGCGACCTTCTGATCGCACACTTGGTCTTTCTGGCACTAGCTCCATCCTGAAGCTCTCTAGGACCCCCCACGAGTCATCTCAGGCTCACACAGAAGACAGTTCCAAGGGTTTCAGGAGCTCTGTGCCAGGATCATAGGACAAAGACCAAATACTTGATTTTTATGATGTTACATAGGTGAAATTATTTTGTGCATTTTGGGAGGGGGACACTGAAGCTCAGGTACGTTAAGTGACTGACACAAGATTGCTTAGTCAGTATATAGCGGAGTTGTTACTGGACCCTCAAGGCCCACTCCCAGACCTGAGTTGTGGTGCTGCTTCCTGCTGGGATGTTCTCCCTCCTCTACTAAAAATACACTGGAAAACAGAGACGCCAGGGGGCATGGTAAGGGTGTAGGTGCTGCTTACACTTATTTTCATTTGGTTCTAGGTCAAGAACTTCTGTGATGTCCACCCTGACTATGGGGCCCGCATCCAGGCTCTTTTGGACAAATACAACACTGAGAAGCCTAAGGTGAGCGCGGGCAGCCCGGCTCTCATGGGATGTGAGCATGGGTTAGTTAGACACAGCTTGGTTTCCTTCCACTGAACATTATTCCCTCCAGGGTCTGTTTCTTGCAACTAATAGATTTCTCAAGCAGCTTTTCAGAAATTCAATTGAGAAATAAAGCAATTACTTGCAAAACCATACTCTTCATTTTTAGCTCTAGACAATGGAAGTTTAAAATGAATGAATTCTGGAGTACTATTTTCATTCGGGTACAAGTGAAAGAAGATACCAGTAGTTGCCTGTGAGTTAATTAGCCTGATGCACTTGTTCTTTTAAAACAGAACGCGATCCACACCTTTGTGCAGGCCGGGTCTCACTTGGCTGCAAGGGAGAAAGCTAACCTGTGAGACTTCGGGCCTCCTCCTTCTGCAAGGAACTCTGCGTCTGTGAAGTGAATGTTGTTCACTTCATGATGTTCACGTCTGCAACCCACTCATCGCTGGGTGAAGATTCTCCTGTGCTAATGTGTGAATGAAAGTTAATGTTTTTAAAATGAAAATTTTAAGGTTTCTATAGCAAATAATGTAACAGTAACTTTTAATGCTGCTTCCTTAGGAGAGAATAAAGTTAAGGCTTAACAATCATGTAAAAGAAACATGTATTTGCATTCGATAGTTGGTTGGATTATTCATTTAAAATGACTAGAAGAAAATTTCTAGGTAGAAATATGATTTTATTTGATAAGAAAAATCTTGGTGAAATAAGTATGTTTACATATCACCTTATGGCCTATTAATAAAAACGTGGCTATAATTATATAAAAAGAAAATATAAAGATGATCCACTCAAATTTTTATTTTTCTAAGATTCTCATAGGAAAACTACCCTTACTGCATCAGTGTCTTCAGAGAATAGTAGTGCCATCGCAGCTTGATGTGTAATGCCTGTAATTGACCAGATTCCAGTTTTCACTTGGATTGTGTTTATGCTAATACAGTGTTGATTTTGCAACAAGCTGATTTGTAATTGCTTACATTTTTACAATAAAATAATCTCTAAGAATAGAAGAAGTAGTATTTGATTTCTTTTTCTTTTTGGGGGGAGATACTGGAGATTGAACTCACATTAAGCCCCATCCCCAGCCCTATTTTGTATTTTATTTAGAGCAGGGTCTCACTGAGTTGCTAAGTACCTCACTGTTACTGAGGCTAGCTTTGAATTTTCTATCCTCCTGCCTCAGCCTCCTGAGTTGCTGGGGTTACAGGCATGCAGCACCATGCCCGCCTTGATTTCTTTTGACTATATATATAACTTGAAAAACGACACCAGACATCATCTGTCTTCAGATGCTTACCCTTAAAAATGAAAGTACCAATATCTTGAGGACACTGTGTTATTTTTAAAAATTCATAGTCTTAAAGCAACCTTCGGGAACAGTGAGAAAATAGCAAATATTCTGACTTTTGAAATCATACTTAGATCTCTTGCTTTTGTTAGCTCACTTACTTTTTATAGGTTTAAAAAATAGGGGCACAGAACTTTTAGTTATCCTTTTCTTTAAACTCACATTTGCCTTATGCTTCTAAATCACATGGAAGATTTTTTTTTTTTTATTGGTTGTTCAAAACATTACAGAGCTCTATGGGTATCATCTTTCATACATTCGACTCAATTGGGTTTTGAACTCCCCAAATACATAATACAGACTCACTTCTGTTACATACTCACATTTTTACATAATGGCATATT